GAATGCAGAGCCCTCCCCCCGATGCTTCCGGTTCGTGCAGGTCGCGAGCTCGGAGGTGACCGCGCCCTGGTCGCCCCCCGTGCCTGGGCGAACGCAGCGCTGCCGGCCCGCGGGGCCGAGCCCCCCCCCAGGGCGCCGGGGGCCCCGTGAGACATCGAGCCGGAAGCTTGAACATAACGCAACAAACTGGGACGCTTCTACCATCTCACTTGCCCTTTGAAGGCGCCGCGTGATCTCGGGCCAATCCCCGCCCAACCCCTGGCGCGAAGATGTTCTTCTTGGCTCGCGCTGAAAATCCCGAGCACCAGTCGCCCCGAAGGAGCATGGCACGAAGGGCAGCTTAGATACTTCCTCGGGGAAACGTCACATAGCACGGGGTAGCACGCCGAGATTCCCCGACCAGGCCCATGTCAGTAGCAAGCCATTCCCAAATGTCTGAGCGCCGTGGGGTGCCCCCCCGTGGCCCTGGAAACCGCGAGACACTTGCGGTTTTGCCCCGGTGGTGGCTAACTCGCAGGTCCCGTGCACCTTCCTGGATAATTTCTTGATCTCCCCCGACCTGGTCGATCCCTTGAGTTGTTGCCATGTCGAACCTTCAAACGACGACGTCGCCCTGGCGTGGCGTCAACTCCTCGGTCGCGCCCTTGGGCGCGAACTCGCGCGGGGGCCCCGCGACCGCGGAAAGCTCGCGCAGGGGCAATCTTGGCATAAAAAGCACTTGCACAACACAAACACAAGAGAGGCAGTTTGCATCCGCGCGAAGAGCCGTTCGGCAATCTCGGCAATGGCCCGCGGGGAGAGACTTAGAGCGCGCGCAGACCAGGACTGCGCGCGCACGAGCAGACCGTCAAACCGCGCACGAAAACTTGGCATCCGAGAAACAATGCGGAACTGCTGGAGCACCGCCGGATAATGGCAGCTGCGCGCAGGCGAGCAAATCTGGCAGAAGCCCTGCAGCTCGGACGGGTCTAGGCCAGCCACGTGAGAGCAGCGCAAGATGGATGTCAGGACTCGAGTGCGCCAGTGGGCCGCGAGGGCCACAGGGGGGGGGGGGGGGGCATCGGATATTTGACCTTACAAGCGGTACCAAAAACAAAGCCCATCTGCACCGAGCCAACGGGCAACTCAATGTCTGGCAAGGTTTCGACCATGGAATACCCCGTGCACTAGCAGCCTCAGCAACCACGTCCGATGCTACAGCTGCCCGAAGTGCACCGTTTCCTATTATCGCTTGAGCTCGGAGGCGCGCGGATCCCTGGCCCCGGGTGGCGAGTTCAGCCCTGGCGAGCTTGCGCAGGGCCCGAAGCTGGCCCGCGGCGAGGGCGAGGGGGGGCGATCAGCTTCGGTGCTTCTGGCGTGGAGAAGATTTGAATGATCAGAATATTGTGGAAGCCGCTGCCCGCGGCAGTCTGGTTGCGAAGCAAAGACAACTCCCATCCCCCCTACAGCAGAGAAACAAACAACATCTCGGAGGCACCATCCGCCCCCCCCCCCCCAGCGCGGCGTTAAGCTTATAGAGCAAGATGACATCGAACGCGCCGTCGACCTCCCAGTCGCGGTAGTGAAGCCCCCCATTCCTGGATGGCCCGGTGGCGGACTTGCCTGACCCGCAAGGGCTCCAAGGGCGCCGGGCGACTCCCTCCTGCAGGGCCCCATTCGGCCAGTCAGACAACTAGCTGAATGTTCGCGACGGGAGATGAGTCCGCCGCGATATCCCCCGCTGGCCCTGCGGGGACCTCCGGCGATTCAAGTTGACACCCAGGGGCCTTGGTCACAGCGCGGGCGGCCCCTCCTCCTCCCATGAAGGACTCAAAGCCAAACTCATTCAGATCATCAGTTGACTTCTTAAGCTCACTAGCGTCTCAGGCCTGGTGGGCCTGATCCAAGAAGCCCCTCCCCTGAGCCAGCGCGTCCGAGCCGGACTTCCCCCTTTGTGGTGCGTGCCCAAGCTGCAGGAATCCTCTTAGGCCAGATCCGAAAAAAAACAATATGGTTCTAGATCGTGTCAGGCGGGGCGAACTGCTTAATTTCTGCAAATCCTCGATGCGGCCCCGCCCCTTAGCAAAAGAAGCCGACCTGTGCCGCGACCGAATTTCAGGGGGACGTAAGACCTGGGCACAGGGGACTCGGAAATCCCCGACGGGGTCGTCAAAGACACGACGAGGCCGAGCCTGCATTTTGACGAGGCCTCCCGCTGCAGACATCCCACGAAACTCCTCCTCGTCAAAATCCGAGGCGCGGTCGTCAAAAAACGATGGCGAACCCGAGTCCTGGCAAACCCGGGTCTTGCGCTCCCCCGAGAATTGGCGCACCCGATATTGGGCGCGGGCGGCAACGGGGATTCCCAAGCGACGCTGGGCACGAGCCCCATCTTCCAGTCGGCTTCGCTGGGGGCAATGTCCCGCTGCCGCATCTCAGCTGCCTTGCAGTACAACGCAAAAGTAGATGTGAGCTCGTGCCGGCGGTGGCCTAAACAGGTCGGGTACTGAGCATGCTGAATACCCCCAACTTCCAGATGATACCTCGCATAGAATTCATGCCAGGGGTTGGCATGTTCGCTGGCAAATCGGGAGGGGCGCGCGCTGCTTGGCGAGCGTCAGCCTCGAGGCCCATGGACAAACCAATGCGTGGACTCCGGGGGCCTTGCAAGTCCCCCGTGACTCTGACGCTTCCAATACTACGGTGGCCCACAATAAAATAGTCGATCATGGTTTTGGCCATCGCAATCGTATCTGGCATATCTTACGTGGTGACAGCCCCTGTGTCGTAGCCAAAGAAGTTAGCACCTTCAACGCGGGTGGGTTTCATTCTGGAATCACCTCTCAGAATGCACGGCATGCGAACCTGACCAAAGAAAACGATTATATCCCTGATGATATCGACGCTGGCCCCTTCGCGCACAATGGAGTCCCGAAAATATTCCCCGACCGTGAGGGTATCTATATGCTGGAGTCGGAAAACGAAACTAGCCCACTGAGTCCCGCACGCAATCGGATGTGGTTTCCCTGGGCCCCATCTATCTAGCATGCGTGTGGTACCTGGGTTGCGCAGCAAGAAAATGGCCCCCATTGGAACCCCCTGCCGGTGCACGAGGCGCTGGACAGACATAGGTTTCCAAGAGTGCCTCCGGCAATCCTTCCGTATGGGCCTCAAGTCCCCTGCTGTCTTATGGACCTCCGTCGAAAACAAAATTTGTAAGCACTCTCTTTGTCTAAGAAATGTCTGGCAGCCTTACCACTCCATGATGTGGTGATGCTGGCGAGGTACAAGCTGATGCTACCCCCCCGCTGTGGCAGATCTGGATTGCCCGCCGCTGCTCGTTTTCCCACGAACTTTTGGGCTGCAACCTCGGCTGCGGTGGCGGCGCCTGCGTCCCGAGGAGGCTGGTAAAAGGGCGAGGCTGACGTGTTGGGGCTGGTGCGGGGGAGCTGGGGCAGCCTTCCTGGTCCGCTTCTTGGCCCTGACCTCGACACTGTCCGGGAAGATCGCGAGACTGGATTTGGCCTGCGCGGCGTTGCGCAGGACAACGGAGTCATCTTCATCAATGTCACCAGTGTCACCTGCGCCGGTAGATTCGCTGACGGTGTGCATGTCTTCGGCGTGAGCAACCTGTGGCCGAATTTCTTCAACTGGTGCGGCGTAAGCAAGACTGGCGGCGGCGGCTGCCTCCTTAGCCCGCTCGAGGGCCAGGCTGGCTGCCTACTGGGCTTCCAGTGCACCTTGTAGCTCTTCGCGGGATTGAAATACACGCTGGTCGGTATCGCCCTTGTGTTTGGACGCCCTCCCCACGCGTGCTGCCGCAGGGTGAGGTTCTTGACAACGGGAGCTACGCATCAGCCTTAAACCACGACGTCGTTGACCTTGTCTACTTCCCCAAGGAGTGGCACCCGGCTTTCGGGAAAAAGGCAAGTACCTCATCCAACGTGAACTCATGCTAGGAAGCGCCTGGTACAGTAGCAAGATCATGACCAAGCGTTTACACGCTGGCACACAGCGGATCCTTCTTGAGGCGGCCGGTCCACTTCCACCCGAAGCAGTCGTCGCACACGACGTGCTCCCTGGTCTCGTGCTGCTTGGCCTTGCTCTCCTGCCACCCCTTGGCCTTGGTCCAGCGCCATTGCCCCGACATGGGTGCGAGAGGAACGGGAGGCCGATGCACTCGGCCGTGCCGCGCGCCGGAAGCAGCCCCCTCGGCTGCGGACTGCGAACGAGTACGAAGCCGCAGGGCGACGGCTTCGCAATTGAGCCAGAGGTGCTACGGCTCTTTCACTCTACCCTCATCCTTCCTCCCTCATTTCTACCTTTCCCCTTCCTCCCATCCTCCTTCGCTCACTCCTCCTCCTCCTCCTCCTCCTCCTCGTCCTCCTCCTCCTCCTCCTTCTCCTCCTCCTCCTCCTCCTCATTTTCCTCCTCCTCCTCCGCCTCCTCCTCCTCATTCTCCTCCCCGCCTCCTCCTCCTCATTCTCCTCCCCCTCATTATGCTCCTCCTCCACCTCCTCCTCCTCCTCCTCCTCCCTCCTCCTCCTCCCTCTTCCTCCTCCTCCTCCTCCTCCTCCTCCTCCTCCTCCTCCTCCTCCTCCTCCTCCCCCTCCCCCTCCCCCTCGCTCTCTTCCTCGCCTACTGCAGGAGCTGGAGAAAGAGCCCACCGAACAGCACGATCAGTGCGGAACGAGGAAGGAATAATTAGGGAGTAGCAGGCGAGAGGGGAAAAGAGGCAACGGGGGGAGGAGGATGACGGAGGAGAGGGCAGGAGAAATCATCGCAGAATGAACAGCCATGTGCTGACCTAGACCCCCGACATTGCGCCATGTTTCATGACGCGCGCCCCACCGTTTCCTAGAACCGGCTCTTCATCCTGAGTCGTCTCCCCACGACCATGAAGAGCTCCCCGGAACCCTGCGTCGTGATATTCCCACGACCCGAGAGAGCCCGGGGGAACCGGAGGCGGGAGGGCTGGATACGGAGGCGCGGCACGGAGAGCCGATGCCCAGAGGCCGAGCCTGCCCCAGGTCGGGCGGCCAGTGCAGCGCCGCCACGAGGCTCGGCACGTCCTCCAGTCTGACCTTGCGCCAGGGGCCCCGCCATCTGGAGCGGGCATCAGCCCAAAAACACCGCCGGTGGGGTCGATTGTCGGCAGCGCTTGGATCCGAGGAGCCCTCTGGGCGGAGGCTGTTTGGCACGCTTCCGCCTCCAACTCCTTGCTTCGCCTTCGTGAGGGGCTGATCACTGCTACTTTTTCATACCCACCCCCTTCCCCCACGCGACCAGCGACAGACCAGGGCCAATGCCCCACTCCCCCTGCCGTGCTTGTAAACAGACCTATACAACTGGCACTCTGCGGCAACATCTTGGGTCGTGTTGGGCAAGCCCCGCGGGTTTTTGTAATCTGTTTTGGCAGGAGCGGCAGGGGTGCCAGCATATTGCCTGTTGCGCGATGGTTCGCCACCCCTGTCAGAAGAGACAATGAATACTGCACTTCGCGGATAAATGTGCATCATGCACGGGCACCCCGCGATCACTTTGCATGAATTTTGACAAGGACGGCGGGGGTGCTGGCATATTGCCGGCTGTGTGCAGGCCCACCAGACAACATGATGGCCACTCCGCCTCATTGGTGTTCGACAGAACTGGTAAGGTCCGACGTGGCGCACATCGCCCCAACATCGCGCACGCGGGGTCTGTACTGGTTCCAATTAGCTCTCCATCCAAAGCCGACCGCTGCATATGCTGAGGCTCGGGCACTATTTATGTGTTGGAAGGTCGCGTGAGAATGGTCAAAACAACTTGCATCCGGGAAAAATTGTTTGATGACTGGCTGCTTCATAGTAATTAACACCCCCCTCCCCCCACCCGACCGACAATCAACCCAGACCCATACAGCTATGCCCCCCCCCTCACCAACAATCCCAATCAACAAATGCAAAAAAACACTGTGCCTCAAAATCTGGAGCATGTACGGGAGCAACGCGACCACTTTGCATTGGTTTTGATAGGGACGGTGGGGGCACCGGTATCTTGCTTGCTGCGCGCACGCCAACACTCCAACACTCTCTGTAAAAAACACTGCATCTGGATCATGCGCCGGCGCCGTGCGATCACTTGGTTTGGGTGTTTGACAAGGACGTCGGGGGCAACATCTTGCTTGCCGTGTGCAGCGCTAACACCACCCAGCCATCCCGTGCAACAGATTTTAGCCACTCACACGTGGTGCTACTTATGCGGTGCAAGTTGCGCGGTGTACTTTATGTTGTGTCATGGCTGTTGTGCAACATGTCGTGCAACCTATGTTGTGCAAGTAGAGTGGAGCAATATTTGTTGGGCACGTATGTGGGTGAACCTATGTGATGTACTCCACGTAGCGCATTCAATGAATCTTGAAGAAGATGGAGATGTTCATTCCATTACTCGCGCAATCACTACACCCACCCAACGCAAGTATTGTTTGCAAAACCAACGAGCCAGCGATTGCGATGCATGCTCGGCGCTGGCTGGCATATCGCTGCGGCCGCGATAGCGCGCGCAAGCTCGCGCGCATCGCGGCCAGCTAGTCTGGCGCGGTGGCGCTGACCGCTGGGGACTTCCACGCGCGTCCCGCGCGCTGACGCGCGGGCACTTCTGTGCCATTCGGTGACTCGGGCGGGCGCGGGCGACGTCGACAAAGGCGGACACGATGATGATACTCGCGATGATGGTGACGACGCTGGCGATTGACAGCGGCACGGCCAATGGCGGCGCCAATGCAAACCACGCCGATGACGACGATGATGTCCACGTGTCTGTTTACACTGGTTGTCCGCTCTGTTTCACCACATGTGTCCTGTCGTTCCCTTTCCACTGTCAACTCTCATTGGCAAGGTTTCTGGATGGGCTGGAGGGGATGCGCGAAAAGTGAAGAATTCTGCCGGGTTGCGACCAACCCTGCCGACACTGACTTCAACCTCGCCAGGAATTGCAACCTGGCTCCTGGGAGCGTTGTCTCCTCTCTTCGGAAGGCCTCCTCGGCAACGCTCGGAACGACCTCCGCCAACAGCCGAACGCCGACCTCTGCTTTGGACGGCCGAAATGGGTACGGAAACAATGGGTACAATGCCCAACAACAAATGTTGTCCCAAACCAACAGCGGGGGCAGGCGGCCTTCTGTCTCGAATGGACAGAGGCCGCGGCGGCGTGGACAGCGAATCCTGTTCAAAATGAGCGGGAACTGCTGTTGGGCATCGTACCCGTTCTTTCCGTACCCATTTCGGGCGTCCAGATCTGCCTCAGTGCCGCCGCGTACGCGTCAGATTTCGCTACGGCTCGTTCCTGGGCCCTAGAAGGGCATCTTCTAGCAAACCCCAGCACCCACCAGGATGGCCCTGGCCCCACCGGTCGACCAGAAGGGGGGGACGGGGGCAGATGCCGGCTCATCGGGTCTTCGCGGCGCCTGTGCCTCCCTCCCTGGGGGGTGGGCCGCTGGGGCCGAGGTACCACGGCACACTGGGGAGCGCAGATCAGACGATGCTGACTGGACCCCACCGTTTGAGCAGGGACCGACCGTCCCGGCATTTCTATAGGCCTACCACGAAATTGTCTCAGAACCCAGGAATGTTCCAAGAACAAGAGCACTGCTCTTAGAACATAGTCCCTAGGTGTTAAAAGAAGACAGTCCCAATCAAACATGTTCTAAGAAGAGTTCGTGAGAATCACAGAAAGCTTCTTAGAACATTGTTTGGTAAGCCTATGGGAACGCTTCGCCACGGCTTGAATCGTGGGCACCGTCTCGGCCAGCTTTTCGTGCTGTGCCCAGGCGTGGCCGAGGCCCCCCCCCCTCTGTTCACTCACTCCCGGGCCAGGCGCCGGGCGCACACGGCGGTGGCGACGAAGGCCCCCCAGGAGCCCCGAGGCGGGGAAAACAAGGGAAGTGCAGCGGTACGCGTACATTTTCCTCCTCGGAGCATCGGCGGTGCTGCCATGCCCGGGGGCGCGCAGACATGGATCAGCGATCCATGGATTTGGCGCGCGCTCGCCAACTCCATGGCTCAGGGGAGGTGCCCTCCCCAAGATGCGGCCCGTGCCGCCTCGCTCGGCGGCGGACATCTGCGATTCCCCACGGAGACGGGACCCGTCGCGAATCCACGCCCCCTTGATCCATGGTTGCGATCGCCTGGCGTGCGCCCCCCTCGTCGCAGCTCTCCTCTCCCCCTCCACCAGAGAGATCCCGCCGACGGAGGCCCTCCCCGCAGGGCACGCGCGCCCCTGTGGGCCCGCAGTCTTCTCGGGCGAGGGGGCCCCCTTCTGGACGAGGCAGTGCCCTGCACCCCACCTGGCATAGGATCGGTCATGCGAGAAACTAGAATCCCAGACAGGATCGCGTCGAAGAACAAAAATCAGGACGGCAAGTTTTCGGCCGTTTTCGGCCTCGGGAGGCCCTCGCTGGGCCTCGGGACCGTCAAAAAACCACTCACGATGACAAACCGGTCACAGGGAAAGGGTCGGGACTTCCAGGGACCCAGAATTGAACAAATCGGGACGTCGCATGTCTGGGATCATCAAGTTCACGGAGGTGTTAGAGGAAGGCAGAATCGAAACAAAATCTAATCGATGTGGTGGCGAAATCTCTGGTCATCGGCAACTTTTGAGGCTGTACCGGGCGCCGTGGCCGTTCCAAAGCGTTCCGGCACGCCCTGGACTGATCCTCTCTATCCTTGAAGCTGCTGCAGGATGTACGGCGCATGTGTGCGCGGCGCCAACGCGAGACCCGCACTTCGGAGGACCACTCGCACCGGATCCTCGAAGCTGCTGCAACAGCCTGCGCTCGCGAGGGTGAGAGAGGCGCTCGAGACCTCCGCGTGCCTCCTAGGAGGCCCTCCGAGAAGGCTCAGCGACGGCCCGCAAGCCTCGATCCTCGACTCCTCGCCTCGACAACGACGACGGCGGGAGCGGCGGCGGCGGCGGCGAGCGGCGGCGGCGGCGGCGGTAGGTCTTCAAATGTCTCTTGGTTGAGCAGGGACCGACCGTCCCGGCATTCCTATAGTCCTACCATGACATGTTCTTAGAACCCAGAAATGTTCTAAGAACAAAACCGAAGTTCTTAGAACATAAGCCCGAGGTATTAAAACAAGACAGCCCCAGCCAGAAATGTTCTAAGAACATTTCGTGGAAACCACAAACGGTTCTTAGAACATTGCTTGGTGGGGCTACAGGCGCGCCAGGACGCTTCGCCACTGCTTGACTTGGCGCTCCCCATGCTGCGAGAGCGGCACGGGCCGGCCCACAACACTGCGGGCGCCTGGCTAATTTGCCACTCCACGCCGGCACGGTTGCGGGCATCAGGCAAGGAATCCAGGGCCTGGAAGTCGGAGGAGGGAGGAGGGAGAATCCTCCTCCTCCTCCTCCTCCTCCTCCTCCTTTTCCTCTTCCTCCTCAAGGGAGGGCCTGGAAGTCGGTAGCGCACCACTTGAGGCTCGGCCGTGGATATCGCCGCCGCCCTCACCAGATATAAGGGAGCCTCCAAGGTCTGAGGCCTCCTGGGCACACTCCCTAAGGAACGCCCCCACCGGCAGCAAGGATGCGCGACAGGATTGCAGGGGCCTTGCACGCCCACATTCCGAGGCTGCTCGGGCGGGGCTGGCCATCGAAAGTGGTTGAGGATGGACCAAAGATGACCGAAGAACAGGTATGCAAGGGTACCCTTGGGGAGTCGATCGTCCTCACTCTCAATTTCGACTGTCCTCCCGCGCCTTCCGCGGGCGGAGCCGCCACCTCGGCTCGTGCCGAGGGCGGAGACCCGGCGGGGGCGAGGCCCTCCCTGGGAACGCCCCCAAGGCCACCCGCGGGGCGAACGGGCCTTGCACGGAGGGTGCCCCCTCGGAGGCCTCCAGAACCCGAGGTGTCCAGAGCCTTCTTCGAACCTCGATCGCTCCGTTCGAGGCCAAGCCTCGCAGGTGCCCCGCGGGTAGAAGCGCTCGACGGCGAGGACGCCGAGGACGACGACGAGCACGACGAGGACTTGCCCACGGACGAGCCGACGAGTCCTGGGGAGAGGTCTGGCCAGAAGCTCGAGGACGATCCGCCTGTGGCCGCGAGGGCGCCCACCGAGCCCCTCGAACCTCGAAGCTCGAACCTCCGCGGCGGCCTGGCCGGTGCCCTGCGGGTCGAAGCGCTCCAGCACGGCCTGGATGTCGGTGGCCCTGCCCTGGTACCGTGCCTGCCCAAAGGGGGTGGGTCGGCTCGCGGCATGCCCGCCCGAGGGACGACCGCCGCGCCGACCGCCGCCGCCGCCGTCGTCGCCGCCGTGGCCGTCGACGCCTTGGTGGTGTTCGTCGTCGACCGCGTTGCCGTCCTTGTCTTGCTTCTTGTCGTGGTCGTCGCCGCCGTGGCCGTCGTCGTTGGTCTTGTTGTCGTCGTTGCCGTCGTGGTTGTCGCCATAATGGTCGTGGTGGCGGTCCTCGCCGAGGGGTGGATCGAGGGCCAAGGTCTCTGGCACTGGCGTTGTGAGGCCCTTTCTCGTGCAGAGGCGTCCAGAGGCTTCCGGAGACATCCGCTTACAGTTAAGCCGCTGCAGTATAAGGAAGACCACATAAGGAACGAAGCCCCTCTGTGGCCCCACAAGAGCCTGGGCACACGAGGAGCATCCGAGGAATAGCCACATAATGACCTACAGTGGAGGCCAGTCCACAAAAAAAACTTCCACGAGAAGCCCAAAACCCTGAGAATCCCGGACGTCCATGGATTCTTGGCGTGGGAAGGCCACGCTCTCCAACGCGCAAGACTATCGAAACCCAAGAAACCCAGGGCACCCTGGAGGCAAGCAGGGTGCTTCTTGGCATGGGCCCCCACTGTGGGGGAGGAGGAGGAGGAGGAGGAGGAGGAGGAGGAGGAGGAGGAGGAGGAGGAGGAGGAGGAGTTGAAACCCAAGAAACCCAGGGCACCCTGGAGGCGAGCAAGGTGTGTCTTGCCATGGGTCTCTACTTCAAGGAAGGAGCAGCAGGCCCCTTTTCGAACCAAAAGCGGCCCTTGTCTCCGCGTCTTGGCCGTGATGCCTCCAGAGGCCTCGGGCCCCACGCAGAGCACACGTCCCTGCACCGACCTTGCAGACGCGCTGCAGCGTTTTTTTGTCGCGTGGATTTCTGTCAACGCAAGACCCCGAAGCCGCGAGCGAAAAACGAAGTTGGTTCCGCGTGGATGTGTTTTGGTCTTCACCCCTGGCCAACCAAACAAAATCCGCACGCAACTTACCTCGAAATCCGCAACGAAGCTCTCCAGGACAATCCAAGCCCAGCCAATCTTTTTCCGACCGAAAGCCGCTCTGCGATGTTGTCGCCGGGACAAATGCCGTCCTCGCCGTCGCGATCGTGTAGCGGCCGCGCTCGTCGCTCGGGAGCCTCGGAGGCGCTCCCGGGGGAGGGGGGCGCCAAGGCTGCAGTCAGATCTCAAGCTCGTCATCGCCGTCGCCGGCCAGCGTCACCACCGTCGGCGGCCGCCAGGCCTGGGAGAGCGGCGGGCCCGATTCGGGCCCATGCTCCACCACCACTACCATATGTGGGAGAGGGAGGAGGAGGAGGAGGAGGAGGAGGAGGAGGAGGAGGAGGAGGAGGAGGAGGGGAGGAGGAGGAGGAGGAGGAGAGGAGGAGGAGGAGGAGGAGGAGGAGAGGAGAGGAGGAGGAGGAGGAGGACGAGGAGGAGGAGGAGGAGGAGGAGGAGAGGCGGAGGAGGAGGCGGAGGAGGGGCCGGGGGGGAGGAGGGAGGAGGAGGAGGAGGAGGAGGAGGAGGGAGGAGGAGGAGGAGGAGGAGGAGGAGGAAAGGAGGAGGAGGAGGGAGGAGGAGGAGGAGGGGGGAGGAGGAGGAGGAGGAGGAGGGGAGGAGGAGAGGAGGAGGAGGAGGAGGAGGAGGAGGAGGAGGAGGAGGAGGAGGAGGAGGAGGAGGAGAAGGAGGTTGAGGAGGCGAAGGAGGACCTCCTCATCCTCCCTTCTCCCCCGACTAACATGTGGCAGCGGTGGTGGACAATCTGCCCATCCCCGGGCCAACGACGGAAGTGGCGCGTGGCGAGACGTGAGGCCTCCGAAGCCGCTATTTGCTGTCACGCCGGCGCTCCCTGGAGGTCCAGACCTGGAGCTCCATGGGACCCCCAGGGGCCTGGGGCCTTTCTCGGGCCGTGGGGCCCCAGGACAGGCCTCTCACTCCTCCTCCTCCTCCTCCTCCTCCTCCTCCTCCTCCTCCTCCTCCTGCTAAGGCCGCGCGTCCCTTCCCCTAGGGCACGCGGAAGAGCCAGCAGCTGCTCCCCCCGCACTGACCCGCAGGGACTCGCAATCGTAAGGTAGCGAGCCTCTCTTACGGGGCCACCTCGGAGCTCACTCCTTGAACCTTGAATTGAGCACCGTGGTATGCCCCCTGCCGACCCTAGTGAGAAGGCAGGGCCGTTGCACAACCAATCGAAGGGGATTTTGTCAGAAGCGCGCAAGGCACCAGCGTAGGTGTTTTGACGTTGAACACCCTTTATGCGGATGTCTTGTCCTGTCCTCCTACTCCTCCCCCTCCTCCTCATCGATCCTCCTCCTCCTCCTCCTCCTCCTGCTCCTTGACGGTCCTAGAGGCCCCCATGTCGCGACCCGTTCCTGACCCGACGGGGCCTGAGGGGGAGGGGGGGGGAAGAGGAGGAGGGCGGAGGGGAGGGAGAGAGGAACGGGGGGCAGCGGGCCGGGGCAGCGCGTGGGGGTTGTGGGCCCGACTCCGGCGCGCTTGCAGGCCGCCCCGACGAGCACGAGGCACGAGCAGCAGCGCCAGCGGCAGCAGCAGAACCTGCCGCGGGAGCTTGGGCAACTGGCTTCGCGTCTCGCTTATCATCTTATCATCTTTCCTGAGGGCCAGCCAGCGATGAGGAGGTACTGGCTCAGGGGGGGGCACATCGAGCTGGAGTTGGCGGGCGCACATCGCCGATACCGATAGATCGGCGGTGCACCCTCGCCGACGCCGCGGTCGGAGTGGCCGTTGTCGTGGTCGCGGCCGTCGGGGTGGTCGTGGCCGCCGCCGTGGTCGCCGTGGTCGTGGTGGCCGCATTGGTCGCCGTCCCAGGACCTCCGACATTCCGACATCGTGATTTCCTCACAGCGTGGACCCCCAGAGGTGCTGTGACCAACTCCACAAGATCGGCATGTCTTCCCGAACCTGGGGAGACCAAGAGGTACCGATATGTACCGCTGCTCCCCAGACCTCTCCCGGGGTGCGTTGCGGCCAGAAGTTCGAAGCGAATGCAACGGTGGCGACGAGGAAATCCCAGGAGGCCCCCAAAAAGGCGAAGACAGGGGCGAAAGTAGCGTCAGGTCGGGCATGTCCTCCTACAGGCAGATTTTGGACGAAAAATAAAAAACAAACAGTGCACAATAGTCAACATGATTAAACTATCGTCCTCAGACTACTTTTGACTATTGTTTGAATTTTCTTCCTGTGGAGGGGCATGCCCGACTTTCGTGGTGGACGGCCCCCGGGGCCCCGCGAGGGGCCCCGGGAGGCCGAGGCCCCGGCCAGCGCCCGCGCACTGCCGCGACTCCTCGCGCCCCGCGCGGGGGAGGAGGAGGAGGAGGAGGAGGAGGAGGAGGAGGAGGAGGAGGAGGAGGAGGAGGAGGAGGAGGAGGAGGAGGAGGAGGAGGAGGAGGAGGAGGAGGAGGAGGAGGAGGAGGAGGAAGGAGGAGGAGGAGGAGGCGGAGGAGGAGGGGAGGAGGAGGAGGAGGAGGAGAGGAGGAGAGGAGGAGGAGGAGGAGGAGGAAGAGGAGGAGGTGGAGGAGGAGGAGGAGGAGGAGGAGGAGGAGGGGGAGGAGGAGGAGGAGGAGGAAGAGGAGGAGGAGGAGGAGGAGAAGAGGAGGAGGAGAGGAGGAGAAGGGAAGAGGAGAGGAGGAGGAGGAGGAGGAGGAGGAGGGAGGAGGAGGAGGAGGAGGAGGAGGAGGAGGAGGAGGAGGAGGAGGAGGAGGAGGAGGAGGAGGAGGAGGAGGAGGAAGGGGAGGAGGAGGAGGAGGAGGAGGAGGAGGAGGAGGAGGAAGAGGAGAGTGGAGGAGGAGGAGGAGGAGGAGGGGGAGGAGGAGGAGGAGGAGGAAGAGGAGGAGGAGGAGGAAGAGGAGGAGGAGGAGGAGGAGAAGGGAAGGAGAGAGGAGGAGGAGGAGGAGGAGGAGGAGGAGGAGGAGGAGGAGGAGAAGGAGGAGGAGGGGAGGAGGAGGAGGAGGGAGGAGGAGGAGGAAAGAGGAGGAGGGGAGGAGGAGGAAGGAGGAGGAGGAGGAGGGGGGAGGAGGAGGAGGAGAGGAGAGGAGGAGGAGGAGGAGGAAGAGGAGGAGGAGGAGGAGGAGAAGGGAAGAGGAGATGAGGAGGAGGAGGAGGAGGAGGAGGAGGAGGAGGAGGAGGAGGAAGAGGGAGGAGAAGGAGGAGGAGGAAGGAGGGTGGAACCGCAAGCGGCCGTGGGGATACACTGAGGCCTCCCGCCCTCGGGCCGTGCCCTCGCGGTGGTCGGCGAGAGGTCGTGGCCGCCGCCGTGGTCGCCGCCGGGTCGTGGCTCCGCGGCAAGCCCCGGGGGGGGGACGCGAGCAGGAAGAGGCCTGCTCATGCGAGGTGTGAAGGGGCCCTGGGAGACACAAATAAACACACAAAGAACCATAATATATATATATATATTAGATGTTTCGATTTTTCTTATTTTCTAAATATTTTTATGATATTTTCGGGGGGATCGACGATTAATTGTGTCTGTGTGTTTTTTCCCTCCTGAAGGCGGGGGCTCTATCCACATCCGCCACGTAGAACCGACGTGCTGGCGCCTCAGCGGGCGGTGGATGTGGACATGTGTTGGCCCCGGGGGCCCGCGCACGTCCATGTCCACCGCCTGCCGAGGCCCCCGAAACTTGGTCCTCCAGGCCATGGTTTATGCATACGTGTCTGCCCTGGATTCTCAAGAGGCGGCGGGGCTTCTCAGAGGCGCTCCGGCCTTCCGAGAGGTTTTTCATGTCTTCGGGGACGACACAAAGCACCTCTCAAAAGGCCGGGGGGACACAAAGCACCTCTCAAAAGGCCGGGGCCCGGCCCTCCTCGCTTCCCCCCGGGCTCGCCGCCGAGTGCTGGTCGGCGTGGTCGCGGGGGTGCAGAAGAATTGCTGCTGCTCCCCAGACCGCACATGGGGCGCATCCTAAACAGGATTCCGAGGAGAATTCGGCCGTGGTGACAAGCGCTCCAGGACGAGCAGCAGTATCGGTAACCATCTCTTGCTCCTCTGAATCGTTCTCGTCGTCGTCCCGCCGTCAGCCGCCGCCGCCGAAGCCGAAAGAGCTGGTGAGGCTTCGGATTGCGCACAGACAGCCGCCCCAGGTAGCCTCGGCTGGCCACAACATGCCCTCCGACTGGTCCTCGCTGGCCTGAGCAGTCGGCAGTGGACAGACCTCCCTTTAGTAAACCTCCCCTTAGTGAAAACGGCCTGGGACCGAAACCGATGGACCTGGACCCGCAAAAATGACGGCCGCGACGCCTCTCGCGAACCGAGAACGGCCAATTCCTTAATCGACGTGTTAGGGTAGGAGGTCTATCCTCCTCCGAAGCAGTCTGGGGCGGTCTCAACACCCTGGCGCCCCCTTCGGCGGTGCCACGGGGCCGTTGCGCGCCCCCAGGCTCGGGGCGCGTTAGGGGGCAGAACATCCGTCCCGATATGAACCACCCCGACACGCGAAGCCGCTTCGCAAACGCACTCCAAGAAGGAATCAAACAGGGCAGGGCGATTCAGTAAACGAACGAGGCCGTTTAGTAAACGCCAATTGTCGGGTCCAAGTGTTTTTTTTCCTCCCTTGAGTTGAGACCGCCCCGGGCTGCTCGGGGGGCCTGTCGAGGCCAGTTGGGACTCCCCGGGGGTGCCTGTCGAGGCCAGCCGGGACTGGCTGCGGGCGGCCATCGCGCCCGACCCTGGGCCGTCCTGAGCCATTTGTCGAGGCGGATCCAGCCGGGGCGACGAACATGTTTTCCAGATCCTAACCAAGCAATCCTCGCGGCCATGCCTCGTCGGAAAAAAAACACGTACAAGTTTCCAGATGGCTCATCGTCATCATCATCATCATCATCATCAGCATCATCATCATCATCATCATCATCATCATCAGCATCATCATCATCATCACCATCATCATCATCAGCATCAGCATCATCGACATAAGCATCAGCATCAGCATCAACATCAGCATCAGCATCAGCATCAGCATCATCATCATCATCAGCATCAGCATCAGCATCATCATCATCATCATCAGCATCATCATCATCATCATCATCATCATCATCATCCTCATCATCATCCTCATCCTCATCCTCATCCTCATCATCATCATCATCATCATCATCATCATCATCATCATCATCATCATCATCATCATCATCATCACATATATATATATATATATATATATATATATAAGGGCCAGGGAGGGCCGCCGCTATCTCGACTGGCCCTGCTCCGATCGACCCTCAGCCTCCCTCCTGCCCCGCCGCGCCGCCGCTGCCTTCAGCTCCGGCGTCGGCACCCTCCTCGGCGTCGCCCGCTCTGGCTCGGGGGTGCCGAAGGCGGCTTCCTGCGCGGAGGGGGCCCTTCTCCTCGCCGAGCGCCGAGGGCTCCTCGCCCCCCTCCTCGCCATCCTCCTCCTCCTTTTGCTCCTCGCCCTCCTCCTCGCCCCCCCTCCTCGTAGAAGCCTGTGGCCTTTCTGTTCGCCCTCCCCCTCCTTTTCCTCATCCGCCTGCTGCTCCTCCTCCTCTTCCTCCTCCTCCTCCTCCTGCTCCTCCTCCTCCTTCTCCTCCTCCTCCTCACCCTCGTCCTCCTCGTCCACCTCCTCCTGTTCCCCCTCCTCCTCCTCCTTCCCCTCCTCCTCCTCTGGTTTCTCCTCCATATTCCCCTCTTGGGGTATGACGGTTTCCAGGCCTATATTTCACTGCGTGCTCCCCCACATGCCTGATCAGGGCAAATTGCCTGGACATCGTTTCTGGATGGGCTGGCGAGGTTACGCGAAGCGTCTAGACTTGATTCGCCAGCGCAGCAGCGTGCATACACACGACAGACGCCGCAGCGAAATCCGCGTACACCACATCGCTTGGCGCAGGGCCTGCGGACGCTCGCAATGGCCTAACCGCACCACAGGCGGCCCCAGTGCCCAACTCGACCTTACCGAACGCGCACTGCATCTTTGTTCTGTGTGATCGGATTACGATTGAAAGTCTCAAGCGGGGTGTCTTCAGCAATCCAGGAAACTGGAAACACACGTGGCTGGAGCCACATGCGGAACATGCGGATGCCAGCTGCTGGATGAAGAGCGCGGAGGGTTAGCGTACTTGGCCACACGAGGCCCGAGCCCTGGAAAGACGTGCGGCCACCGGTGTATCCAGACCTCGCCCAGGCTGGCCACGTCATGCGTATACACGCGTACAGCCTCCTGGTAAAACAAAAGCACACAAGACAATTGTCGCCCTCGTTGGGTGCAGCTTTCCTGAAAAAGTACGTGTGCAAGGGAGCCGGCTTGGAGCATCAGTAGGACGATAACGACGAGAGGAGGATCAACAGGACGACAGCGACGAGGCCACTTCCCCCCTCGTGCCCAAGAGTGTCCAAAACACGAGCGGATAACAACAATGAAATAAACAAATCGGCCAACTCTGGCCCCGTCTCCCTCCATCCTCCTAACTCTCACCATAATTTTTCTGCCGTTTTGTGAAACAGCTTGCGCTACAATCAGGAGGACGATGACGACGTGAGGAGCATGACGACGACGATGAAGGAGAAAGGCGGGGGAAGGCGTGGGTAAAAGAGGGAAGGCGGAAGAAGAAGAGAAGGAGGAGAGGGGGAGGGAAGACATCCTAGGATCAGCCATGTTGTATGTCCATAACACGGCCTTGCATGTCCATAGTTTGGTGCACGATCTGCCGTATCAGCTCCAACTCGATATCTGCTACCCGAGCTGTCTTTGGCAGACGGTGCTGGCGCGAATCGCGACGTGACAGGCCCCCGCCCCACGCCCCTCGTGACGCCCGGCCCGTCGCACTCGCGACGGTGGAGGCGGAGCGCGCCCGAGCGCGGCGGCAAGCGGCCGCGGCACCGCGCGCGGCGGCGACGGGCGAGGGGCCGCGACATCCGTGCTGAGACAGGGACCGCTGCGCCGAGCACGTGGGCCGCGTGCTGCGTGGCGCCCTGGAGCACTAGTGTCCCCCGTCGATCCCAATCCAATAAGAAGCCCATCCCACCCTCCTCCTCCTCCTGCTCCTCCTCCTCCTCCTCCTCCTCCTCCTCCTCCCCCTTCTCCTCCTCCTCCTCCTCCTCCTCCTCCTCCTCCTCCTCCTCCTCCTCCTCCTCCTCTGTCCATCCTCGTCCTTGCTTCCCCTCCCTCCCTCCTTCCGATCTCCATCCAAGGTGATTCTTGCGAAGGTCCCCGGCAGAAACGTCCAGAAGCCTGGCCTTCCTTCCGTGACGACTCGGGTCTCGGGCGGCCGCCCGGGACGCTCTCGGCGAGGCGCGGCTGTCGGCGAGCGCCCCGAGGCAGGCAAGCCGACGCGAGCCGACGCAGACGTCCGAACACCTCGGACCTTGGAGACGCAGAGGGTGTCTGTACACCACCGCCGCACCTCGACGGGTGCCTGCTGGGCCACGGCCTGGTGCATTCTCCATGCCTCCGTGCCATGGCCGAGGCCGGGAGGTCTAGTCATACACCATCCTGGCGCCCAGGATGGCCCTGGAGGTGGTAGTGCGCATATGCCTTTTGCAAATCGGACGTCCGAAGAACGTCCGACGCGAGCGGGGGTGGGCCCGCAGCAGCCGCGCCATCGACGGGCCCCTAAGCGCTCGCGCACCGAGGAGCCCTCGACGAGATCTCGAGCGGCACACGCATTCGAGCAAGAGGACCATCGGCGAGGCCTGCGGAATAAGCATGACGTCGTGACTTGCCCACGACGAAGAAAAAGATGAGCGACGATCAGAGGCGGGTCTTCCGCGAGATGAGATAGCGGCCTTACGCCGCAGCGCGCGCGCGCGGGCCGCCGGCGCATGCACGCCGCGTGGGGAACTGTGGGCGCTTCTACGCGCGACCTCTGCGCGGGCAGCTTGCGAGCCAATGTCGGCGCAGACGCCTCCGTTTCTGTGGACTCGCTCACGGTTGGCGGCGCGCACAAGGGGGTCGGGGGCGGGGGGAAGGCTTCCTAGAAGGAGGCTGCTTCTTAGAAGGGGGCGACCCTACATCTACAGACAAGGCCAGCGCCTGGGGAGACACAGGGGCGCCTTCAAAGAGCCTTCCCCCCGCAACCGACCCCACGCTGCGCGTGGCCGAGCTTCGGGGGTGCTGCTAGGAAGTGCCCCTTGCCCGAGGTGCCCCCAGGATTTCCAAGGAGGCCCCCACGGCCTCGAGAGCACCCCATCACGAGGCCCAGAGGGCCCCGGGGGCTCCCAGATGGAGAGCGCAGAGCTGGGGCCACCCTGGGCGAGGGGCACCTGGAGCAGCCCCCGAGAGCGTCTGTGGCCTCGCTCGAGTGCTGGGTCGGGCATGCCCACCCCGCCCCACAGGTACGACAGCCCAGACAAAGTCAAAAACAGAAATCCTGTCCAGACTCTTTCGACCAACTACCTTTGACTGCTCCTCCCGCAGATGGGACAGGCCCGACTCAACTCGAGGGCGGCCCGCCTGGGGGGCCCAAAGAATGTACACCACCACCGCGTCAAACCCTCCTCTCTCATCTCTCCGGCGAGAGGGAGGTGAGGGAGGTCTAATGACTTCCTCTTGAGCGGTGTGCTTCCCAGCTGCCTAGCTTGCCTAAAACTCGAATGGAGTGCAGAAAACCAACACCGCTTCTTTATGAAAAACGAAAGAGTGCAAATAATTACTTGGTCGCAGCTCTGGTAGCAGAGGGAGGTGGTGGTGGTGCATATTCGGGTCGGGCGAAAGGGGGGGATAGCAAAGTGGGGGTTTGAGAATCAGCTCACGTAGCTGATTTTCCCGGCGCCTCCCGGCGCCAGAGGCGGCCATGTATCGAGGAATGGGCCCCTCGGTGCGGCCGGAACCAGCTGCACGCCGCAAATTTCGTAACCCCCCCGTTCCCAATATCCCCCCCTTTCGTCCGGCCCGACATATCCTTGGGCCCCCGGGCGGGGGCGCAAGGATATGTCGGGGCTCCTGGGACCGAGGACCGAGGAGGAGAGAGGAGGAGGAGGAGGAGGAGGAGGAGGAGGAGGAGGAGGAGGAGGAGGAGGAGGAGGAGGAGGAGGAGGAGGAGGAGGAGGAGGAGGAGGAGGAGGAGGAGGAGGAGGAGGAGGAGGAGGAGGAGGAGGAGGAGGAGGAGGAGGGGAGGAGGAGGAGGAGGAGGAGGAGGAGGAGGAGGAGGAGGAGGAGGAGGAGGAGGAGGAGGAGGAGGAGGAGGAGGAGGAGGAGAGAGGAGGCCCCCGGTCGGGGGCGCACCCGCGGCAGCCGCGCCCGCGGCGCCTCCTCGCCCCGGGCGCCCGAGGCCCCGCTGCAGGGCCGGCTGCCCTGCGCATGCGGGGCGCTCCCCGGCAGGGGGGCCGCCGGGCGCGGCAGGCCGACGGCGGCAGCCACGGCGCCGACGACGACGACGCCGACGCCGACGCCGACGCCGATGCCGACGCTGACGACGACGACGCCGACGACGACGACGACGCCGACGATACCAACGCCGACGACGACGACGACGCCGACGACGACGCCGACGAGGCCGACTACGCCGACGACTGGCGGCAACGACGACTGGCGGCGGCGGCCGCGGCGGCGGCGGCGGCGGCCGGCGACGGCTGGACGCGGGAACAGGCCGGAACTCCCAGGCTTCCAACGATATGTGGCTCTTTCAGTCCGGGCGTGTGTCCTCGGTTTCGGAAACTGGGGCCCGTCATAAGAAGGCAATCCATCTGGGGTCCGAGCTCATGGGGTCGGAAGATGGTGCCGCATCCTCCATGCATCGGCGATGTCGCGACCCACCTCGCGTCCCACCCGCGACCCACTCCGCGACCCAACCGCGACCCACCCGCGATCCACGCTCGCGACCCACCCGCGACCCACCCGCGACCCACACGCGACCCACCCGCGACCCGACCCGCGACCCACCCGCAACCCGGTCCGCGACCCACCGTCGACCCACCCGCGACCCACCTGCTACACAACCCGCGACCCCCTACATTGTTTCAACCAGAAAAATCAGCGCCTGCGGCGGGCTCGTTGTATAGCTTGGAAATTTTGCGCCTGCGGCGGGCTTCTTCTTCTTCAAAGCCTCGTAGACTGCCGACGTCCCCGCCGCCCCCTCAGTCTTACCTGCAACTGCGGGGTGCTACGTATTTCAGGGGCATGCCACCATGGACCCGACTCCGCATGTGTCCCCTGCCAGTGGGGCCTTCGATGGAGCTCACCATGGGGCCACGAAGCGGGTGAAGGGAGAGTGCCAAAATGAATCCGGGTCCGCATCCGGACCCTGCTACTGGGGCCTTCGGTGGAGCTCCCTGTGGGGCCGCAAAACGTGAGGGGTGTACCAACATGTACCCGAGTCCGCATGCGGAAACTGCTACTGGGGCCTTCGGTGGAGCTCTCGATGAGGCCACGAGACGTGTGGGGGGAGAGTACCGAAGTGGGCCCGAGCCCGCATCTGGACCCTGTGAGGGGCGTGCCGAAATGCGCCCGAGTCCGCATGTGGACCCTGCCACTGGGGCCTTTGGTGGAGCCCCATCTGAGGCCGTGTGAGGGGTGTGCCAAAACGGGCCCGAGTCCGCATGCGTACCCTGCCAAGGGGGCCTTCGGTAAAGCTCACGGCCACGAAGCGTGTGAGGGGCGTGGCAACATGGACCCGAGTCCGCATCCGGACCCTGCTACGGGGGCCTTTGGTGGAGCTCCCCATGGGGCCACGCGAGGAGTGTGCCAACATGGATCCGAGTCCGCATGCGGACTCTGCCACTGGGACTTCGTTGGGGCTTCCATATGCGGCCACGAAACATGTGAGTGCCACACCGACTTTGGCCGAGACCGCATGCGGACCCTGCCATGGGGCCACGAAACGTGTGAGGGGTGTGCCAAAATGGGCCTGAGTCCGAATGCGGGCCCCGCCACTGAGGCCTTCGGTGGAGCTTCCTCTGGGGCAGCGAAACGTGAGAAGGGTGTGGCAAAACGGTGATGTGAATGATGATGATGGTTGTAACACGTCTGAAGGCGGAGATGCTGGCGACGACAGTGATGATGACGACGATGAGGTGGAATTGAAGAGGAGGGAGAGGCGGAGGAGGAGGAGGAGGAGGAGGAGGAGGAGGAGGAGGAGGAGGAGGAGGAGGAGGAGGAGGAGGGGCGCGGCGCTGCGACTTCGCAACAAGGACCCCACACACAGGACGGTTTGGACAAACCATCGTCGGATGTCTGGGAATTGCTTGGCGACGCATCTCCGATATCGGCAACACCGCCACTGGCGGCAGCTCGTGGCGCTGCCGCGGTCCCCACCCCAAGCCCCGCCGCTGAGGCGCAGCAACCGAGAACAGCCTGGGGCCTGGGATCCCGCAGGGATCCCAAAGAGAACGCTCGGAAGCCACCGACAACGCCCGACAACCTCCTCCCTCCGAGATCATCTTGTCCCATCGGCTCCCCTGAGGTCTCCATCCAGTGGTTGCTCAGCACCGTGCAGGAATTTCCTCCTCCTCCTCCTCCTGCTCTCGACCCTGAATCTGGCATCCTCGACCCACCTCCCTCCGCATCCTTCCTGGATCCTGGAACCTCGACCCTTCTGCTCCTCGTCCTTCAGACTCTCCTCCTGTTCCTCCCTGCCCTTCCCCCTTATCTTCGATCCGCGAAGAGCGTTCCTCGACCCTCCCTCCCTTCTTGATCCTCCTCCTCGGCCTTGCATCCTTCGCCCACCGGAGACCCAGGGCATCGGTTCGCCAGGTGGATCTAATGAAGCTAAGGTCGGGCCTGTCCCCAAATACTCCAACAATAATCAAACAAGAAAAAATCGTCCCCAGACTATGTTTAGACTATGTTTGAATATCCCTCGACACGCGCGGAATTTTTGACCACATCCCCCCCTTCTCCCCCTCAACAGCCCCGTCATGCACCTGCCTGACTCTGAGGTGCGTGCCCACCGGGGCTAGGCGCATTGCGGCCGAGAGTCTGCTGCTGGAGGGGGTTAAAGCCTGCCACGGGAGCCCACAAAGGACGTATGCGCCCACCCACACACGTGAGCACGGCCCCCGAATCCGCGAGACCAGCCGCGTGATACGAACGTTCGCGCCATGCGTGCTCTCGTCGCAACAACCAGCGTGGATTCGTGTACGTGCACGCCCTTCTTTCGCTCCTAGCCTGCCTCCCTCCCTCCCTCCGATCCTCCTCCTCCCCACCCTCCTCCTCCCATGCCTTGCAATGCGCTGTTCGCCTTGCCGCTGCCAGGAGACTGCCCGATCATCATGCTCACCACCGTCAAAACATCGTCGGCACAAGCTCCCACTCCTCCTCCTCCTCCTCCTCCTCCTCCTCCTCCTCCACCATCTCCTCCTTCTCCTCCTCCTCCTCCTCCTCCACCATCTCCTCCTCCAACATCTCCTCCTCCTCCTCCTCCTCCTCCTCCTCCTCCTCCTCCTCCTCCTCCTCCTCCTCCCCCTGACGCATCGGTCCTGCCCGAGCCTCCTCCTCCCCGCCCTCTGGCGGGAGGGCGGCGGCGCCCTCGCGGCGAAGGCCGCCGAGGCCAGCCCGGGCGTCGCCACCCGCGTCTGCGACGGCGAGCGGTCGCTGCGCGGCGGGCGGGTGTGGCGGCTGCGGGTGGTGGTGATGGCGATGAGGGTGATAAGGGTGATGATGGTGATGATTAGGATGCGGATGAGGATGATGATGCTGATGCTGGTGTTGATGATGGTGGTGATGGTGATGATGATGATGATGATGATGGTGATGATGATGATAAATGGTGGTGGTGGTGATGATGGTGAGGATGGTGACGATGATGACGATGATACTGGTGATGGTGAAGATGGTGATGGTGACGGTAAAGATGATGACGATGGCGATGGCGGTGCTGATTACGATGCTGATGCTGACGATGACGATGATGGTCATGATGATGACGATGATGATGATGATCACGGTGATTAACCCCGCACACGAGAGAGTCACCCCATGGGAATAATCGGGGCCCTGGGAGGGTCGTACACTTTTTTCCCGGAGGCATCGATGATGGGATGTCTGCATCGGTGCTGAATGACCTCCAAGATGATTTGACGAAGCCTCCCCGGATGGCCTGCCTGGACGACTTTGATGAGCACGAGCCCTGTGAAATACGATGCTATACTGATGAGAGCGGTATGGAGGTGCTGAAGAACAGCGAAACCTGGGAAATAGATGGTGTAATGGCACGTTGGTCCCTCTTGGGGGGAAGCCCTTCAGATGTGCTATGCATGATGGAAAAACCAAGGCCATGATTGGAACTGTCTGGGGGATAATTGAGTTCGACCTCCCCGCCTCCCTGCCTCTTGTGCCAGATACAGACCACAGAGAATAAACTTAGACGGCCCTAGAAGGGGGACTCATTATTATCAAGTGTTATCCCGGGGACGCGGAAATAATTATGTTGATGATGAGATGATGATGCTGTTGATGCTGATGCTGATGATGATGGTGATGATGGTCAGTATAATGATGACGGAAATGAGGATGATGATTCGAATGAGGATGATAACGATGCTGGTGGCGATGCTGATGGCAATGATAATGCTTGCGAGAATGATGGCGGTGCTGATGATGATCGGTGTGGTGATGTTTTTTTTGATTGGGGGGCGCTTCTCGGCAACTGTCGCGCAGGGCGCACGCGGGCACGATGGGTGCCGACTCTACCGACGCGCCATGCAACGTGACCCTCGCCGACAGGCGATCGCGGCCGTAATGGTGCCGCAGGACAGAGGCTGGACGGTCTGCAGCACTGGAGGTCAGGCCGTGCACCAACATCTACATTGAACGGGCGGCGGCTCACAAGGCTGCGCGTCGCCAGTGCACCCCGGCGGACTCAACGGCGTTCCCCGGCGGCCCCGGCGGGGAAGTACATCGGGCACGGGGCGGATTCGCGCCAACAATTTTCTCGGCGCGAATTGATTCCCAGCGGCATTCATGGCGGCTCGCCTGTCGGTCAGGCAGCCAGCCTGCTGGAGACTGCTTCAGAGCGGTGCAGCCGCCGCCGCCGCCGCCACCGCCGCGGCACACGCCTTGCCGTCAGCGGCGGGATGAAGCCCGAGGCCGAGCAGCGTCGCCTGCTGGTCGGTGACACGCAGCGACCGGTGCGCTGGCATCCAGGCGCGCCAGGCCGGATGCCTGCCCACCAAGAAGCCGTCGATGCGCTGCCTGCGCGACATTACCCAGCCCTCCGCCAGCACACGCGGCTGAAGAAGCAGGCGGCACACAGCACCGCGTCCCCCGCGATGTGCATGCGATGGCCGCCCGCTGCCGCAAGGGGCACGTCGCCGTGGAGCGGCATGTACACTTCGGGTTCCGTGGCGGCTTCCATGCCGCACTGGCCAACCCTTCGCCGCTCGGCCGCTGGCGCCGGCGGCTCTCCCGCTGGCGGCGGGGACGGAGCAGACGAGCGCGGCATTGGGGCTGTTGGCGCCGGCGCCGCTGCCTGGCTGGGACTGGCCGCGGTCGAGCTCGCAGGCGCCGCCGGCGGGGGGGGGGTTGGCGCCAGCGCCGCTGCCCAGCTGGAGCTGGCCGCGGTCGAGCTCCCAGGCGCCGCTGGCGGGGTGGCCGCTGGCAGGGCCGCCGCAGGCTCGCTGCCGTTGCCCTGCGCGTGAATCCGCAGGCGGTTCGCGGGCGGGCCGACTGCTGCCCGAGGTGGCGGTGCCACGTCGAGCTCGCGCCCGTCTGGCCCAGCCGCCGCAGGCAGCGCAGCGTCGCGCGCAGCCTGGCACGCGTCGGCATGCGGGGCCGCTCCTGGGCACAGACCACGCAGGAGTCGGCGTCGCCCCGCACAGTGGAGGCCCTGCTCGGGCAGGAGGCGCACTGCCAGCTCCGCCCATCGCGGCGCAGCGCGTGGCACCCGCTGCGCGCGGGGCGGGCCTCGGCACCTGCGCGCCCGGGGGGCAGCCCGCGCTTGGCGCGTCACCCGCTCTGCGCCGCGCCCTCGCTCGGCGCGGCGCGGGTTCGCGATCTGCGGGCTCAGCCCCCATCGCGCCCTTGGCGTTGAGCTTGCCACTGCTCCTTCATGTCCTCGCGCGCGGCGGCAGACGCAGCGTGGGAGTCGCGCCTCGCCTCGGCCCCTGTATCGGCCGAGGCGTCGCCGCGCTTGTGGGTGCGGTCGCCGTCAGCCTGATGGCCGTCGCAAGACAGGCTGGTCGCCGAGTCCGCCGAGGTCGGCGATCTTGTGCCACACATAGGGGGAAAACGAACCTACCTCGCTTTTGACCACCCTCGCTTCCAAGAGATACCAAACGATGCCAAATTGCAGCCTGTACTGGTCAGGCCGCTTGACGAGGAGGCGCGTGGTATGGCTTGGTTCTGCCTGGAATCGAAAGCGGGGTAGATAATTCACGCTCTGATCACAGCCAACCAGAGGTCGCGGTTCGGGCGCCTGGGGTGCACGGCCCAGCCACGCCCGCGCCCGAAAACATCAGTGAAGTCTCTGTAACCGGTCAGGATCCGCAGCCGCAGCATGGCCAATTGCAAATCTGGAGGCCGCGGCGATGACTGCCCTGGGCCCAGCGAAGGCGCCATAAACGAGAGCAGGTCGACGCGCCTGGGCTCACGATGGCGAGTGCGGAGCCCGCTCTTAGAAGGAGAGAACGCGCCATAAAGATGAACTTTTGGCGCTCCGCGCGGATTTCTTAGAATATTCTGCGAGCTCTGGTAGCTTAAGGCGACTACCACAACTTCTGGCATGAACCATCGGAACAGACGTCGCCCGTGACGACGACTTCGTCCAGGCTGCCGCAGTCCACGTGCCAGTGGCGGGGGTCCCCCCTGGGCGGGGGGCAGAAATCTTCGAGCGCAGCCAGAGGCCGCGCAATCAGGGCCAGTCCTCGCCGTGCAGGGCCAGAAGGTGCTGATTGCCGAGGTCCATCTCCAGGTCGAAGTCCTGCACTACACGAGCGCGTTGCACTATTCGCAGAATGACTACTGATGAGGCTGATGAGGATTGTGGCGGCGATGAAGATTGTGGCGCTCACGATGCGGCTGTTAATGATGGTGACGATGGCGGCCATGCTGACCTTCCGTAGTTCTGGTTACGATGCTTATGAGGATGCAATTGATGCCGACAAAACTGCTGCCAATAATCCGCCGGCCCCCTTGCGGGGCCACCAGGCTGCGAGGGTGGGGATTGAAGCTCCCTGTTACAGTTGCAGTTACAAGTTCCAACTGTTACAATCCTGTTTTCTGCTTCCTTACTGTTAATTGTTGCTGAACGCGCGAGGGGAGGGGGAAGCCGGAAGGCGTCCTGGCTAGCGTCCCCGAATCGCGTTGTCTGAATTCCTTGGGGGGCGTGGGACAAGTATAAATACATGACTCTCACGTCCCCGCAGCCATTTCCCTAGAAAATCAATCTGTATTCGCGTCCCAGAGGCCATAAACCATTTTCGAAAATCATAGAATATTCGCGTCTCAGAGGCCATAACCAGGCCGTCCCTAGTAAATCATACAATATTCGCGTCGCGTCCCCGAAGCCATACACCCTCGTAAATGATACGTGACTCGCGCCCCCGAGACCATGACAAACCCAAGTAAATTACGAAAGGCTCGCGCCCCCGAAGCCAGAAACTTTAGAAATTTACTATATGTTCGCGTCCCCGGGGCCCTAAACCTGTGCAATGTGCACAATGCTTGCGTCCCCGAGGCGACAAACCCTCGCAAATTACACAATATTCGCGTCCCCCAAACCAGAACCCCTTGTAAAGTGCAAAATAGTTGCGCCCTCGAGGCCATACACCTCAGTAAATTGCACAATAGCTGCGTCCCCGAGGCAACAAATCCGTGCAAATGACACAATACCCGTATCCCCGAGGTCACACACCGTTTCAATTTAAACAATATTCGCGCCACCGAAGCCATACACCCTTGTAAATAAATATTGGCCGTTGCGTGAAGTCCCGACAATGCTACACGTCCGCGTCGAGGCATCCCAACACAGCTCTGGCAAGTCCCATTCTAAGAGAGGGGGGCTGGCGACATGGGGGCGAAGCCCGTACGGATAATACCAATCCAATCAATATCAGCCAGCGTGGACCCCAAGTAGATAGGAGGACAGGGGGAGGACGAGAGGAGGATGAGAGGAGGACGAAAAGAGGACGGGAGCAGGACGGGAAAAAACAAAATCAAGCAAGCGCAAGCAAGCAAGCGTAAACAAGCAAACTCAAGCGAGCAAGAACACGGAAGCAAGAGCCAGCGATCGAATACAAGCAGGCAAGGGCAAGCAAGAGCAAGCAAGCAAGAGCAAGCACGCAAGAGCAAGCAAGCAAGTGCAAGTGGAACAACGGGGGGGGGGGAATTGGAAAAAGGAGGGGTGCCATTGGAAAAAGGGGGGGTGCTAAAGACAAATTAACTACGATGAGCTAGGACCCCTACAGGGCAAGCCTATTAGAAATATCGGAGTTGGGGAGAGGCATAGGCATAGGCATAGGAATTAGGGGGGGGCGTAGGAATTAGGGGGGGAGCAACGGACCAATTAATAGGGTAGAGCTCCTATAGCGCAAGCCTATTTGGTGAATAAGCATGATGATGCCGATGACGATGATGCTGATGATGATGATGATGAT